GGCCTTAGATTAGAAAGTTCCTAAAATTTGATTTTCTTTCAATCATTTGAGCAAGCTAGAAATGCTTGTCAGACAACACATTTCCCTACCCTCAATTAGGACCTGGGTGAGATATCTAGAGAAAAGATCCAAGCTCTTGTTTCTTTCTATGCATCACAGAACAAAAAGAGCCAAACTCCTTAGAATCACAAGGATTCCAAAGGCATCATGGCACAAATGGAAAAAGTCAGATGCCTAGCATTGTAGATATGTTTCTGGTTAAACTATGAGACCCTGACTCTCTTCACAGATTAAAAGCCAATTCAATTCAAGAAAACTGACAAAACATCCCTTCCTTAGAGAAAACGGACTGGACAAATTACACACAAAAAGCTAAAATTTCTACCACTCGTTGTTGAAAAACAATAAGAGCTTCTATTAGCAGTTCCTTTCCCTGCAAAACACACTCTGAGAAACAAACTGCAGGGTCTATCTAGCTGGAGTGCAGAGAGAGACCCAGTCCCCATCAAAGGTACATCAAAGTTGTAATCAAAACCTGCTTTTCTTTATGAAACTAAGCAACTGCTGCTATTTAACACCCACATATTGCTGGAGCTCATTCAATTCCCTCCACAACTGACTTGGTTTAAAAGGAAAAAATGCTTTGCCTCCTGCAGACAGTGGGAGAGGACTGAGTCATGCAGATCTCTAAGGAGAAGTGTAGGTACATATGCAAAAATCCAAAGGGGCTGCACACTACTGCTGGGCCCTATTTCACCAGGAGTCTAAGCCTACTTTCAAGCCTTTTGTAAAGAAAAAAAAAGACTCTTAGGGTACTTGACTATGGGGCGGGACACGTTACGCCACTTTGCCTTCTTTCTGATGATCACAGAAGGAGAAAACTAAGAAGAGGATGACAAGACATGTAAAAGACCAAACTTTGCCATATGGTTTTTCAGAAGAAGAGGAAACAGCTTTCCCCTCCACCCCCTGACACACTGTTCCAAAGGCTCTGTAACTAACAAGCCATGCCAACACAATGCTAGGTTCTGTAGCGCAGTGACTCAGAAGTCATTTTCGTAGCCAACATGAAATGTCAAGTAACATATCTCTGATAAGACAGAAGACATTTCTCCAGGAAGCATGGCCTCTGAGTGTCTCTCTTATGTAAATTAGCCCTGGAATTTAAAAACTGCTGTCTTTTAGGTGGAATGGCAGCCTATATGACATACAGCATGCACCCAAGAACAGCCTAAGAAAGCAAAGGTCAGGTACACCATGTTCAGTCTTCCATTACCACCCCACCACAAAGAGCATTATTTATGGGAACCAGTGATGTCTATTTTAAAAAAGAAAAAAACTGATAGATAGAAGTACAAATAGAAAATAGAGAATGGAAAGAAAAGGGATCCTAGTACTTCCTTACGCATGTGTGGCATGCAAAATTTGGAGATTAAGAACTCTGAGGGAAGGCTTTGAGTCTGTATATTCAAGAATATATATGCTCAGGGATAGAGCCAATCAAAATGGGTAGCATTTACCAGTAACTCCCATTTGCCTCATCTCACAAGGCTCCAAGACTAGGATTCCTGAAGGGCAAGAGTTCTTAGCATGTACAGCAAGTACCTATGTGGTGAACAAAGGAAATGAGAGAAAAAGAACTACCTGAGGCCTATACCCGACTTCTCTTTTCAATAACAGATTCTTTGCTCCAAGAGTAGCACAAGCTATGATTAAAGTGGCAGTATAATTGCTGAATTTTTTTTGTGCCTCTAACACCTGCGAAGGGAACATGGTGACAAGAAATATTCAGCAACCCAATTATTTCACGCAGGTTTTCATCCACCCAGAAAGTGGTCCTCAAAATAGAACGGAACTTGCTCTGCTTTACCAATCTGGTAGGTGCCTAGGGCAAAAGAACCAAGAAAGCTCATAAAATTGTTCATCGGTATTTTCAAGAAACAAAATTAAAATAAAATAAAGTTCATGAAGTTTAACAAATAACTTCCAAAGTTCATTTAATTACTTAATGGTGTGTATAGCATGTATGATACCATGTCTTGTTCTAAGGCTCTGTCTCCAGAGAGATATAAGATATTGAGCACTCTTCCCAGAAATGGGAAGACAGATTAGATAACTGGTCTTTCCAGTTTCAGGAATATTTTAATTCAACTGGGAAAGAATGGGACCAAATTCAAGGTCCTTGCTGTCTAGGAACTTGGGGATAGTTAGATATACATTTTGAACAAGTAACTAGAGAAAAGGAAATTGAGAGAAATTTTTTTTTCTATCAGAAGTTAAGAACTTAATACATTTATAATGGACTAAGCTCATTTCTTTCTTGTGTGTGTGTGTGTGTGTGTGTGTGTGTGTGTGTGTGTGTGTGTGTGTGTATGTGTGTGTGTATGGGCTTAAGCTCAGGACCTTACACTTGCATGGGTTTCTTTCTTACTGCTGGTGCTCTACCACTTGAACCACACCTCCCCCTCTATTTTGCTGGTCATTTTGAAGATGGAGTCTAGTGGACTTTTCTGCCCAGACTAACTTCAAACCACCGTCCTTCAGACTCCAAAGTAGCTAGTAATACACGCATGAATCACTACTGCTTCGCATTTTCCTATATATTTTAACAAAAGACAGTTGCATAACAGACTAAAGTGGTAAAGATCATTAGAGTTTTACACATTGGTTCTGGTGAAGTAAGCATTTACTAGAGGTCACTACTGGAAATGCATCGTTGACAATGAGAACAACTATGGAGACAAAACTTTCTATCTGAAGTGGATTTTCAGGTCTCAACATGAACAAAGCAACTCACAACTCACAAAAAATACTGGCTGTTAATCATCTCAAACCTGGGAAGAGATAGTCTTAGAAGTAGGGTGATAGGATCAATGAACCATGCTGGGACTATTCAAGGATGGAAACATAAGAGGATGTAAGGCAACAGAATGGAAGCCATCAACATAAACCAAATGGAAGAAATCAACATAAACCAAAAGAATGGAAATAGGCCATACCAAATTACATTTGAGGGATAGCAAAGGTTCAAAACCCGAGAACATTTAGTGAAAACTAAGGCTACCATTATTCAGTGCCTATAACATGCTAGGCATGTCCTAATGCTGGGATTACAGACATGTACATCTATGCCTATCTCTAATTTAGCACCAATAAGGTAGATCCACAGACTAAGGCCTCCTGTCTATTAGCCACACATAGTCCCTAGTTGGTCTCAGAAAGTCTCATAATTCTAGCGTAACTTGTACATAATGACCCCCAAATCACTACTCAACTTTGACATTACCTCTAAGCCCCAGCTGACATTTTCACTTGAATGTCTGACAGATATCTCAAGCTTAATATATCTTCCTTTGGATTCATCTACTAAAAGTGAAACAAATAGAAACTCACTGCTCCTTCCAAATACTTCTTACCACCTCCACAATTGCCACCCACCCCATCTCCAGCCTGTATCACTGCAGAGTCTCCCAGGAAGTGAACTTGTCCTTCAGTGAACCTCCAACTCCATGCATTCCAAACCTTGCCATTTGTAGACTCTAGCTATCAATGCTGTTGCTGAAGTGCAGACAACAACTTAAGAGGATAAGCAGAAACGATAGATATTGGCTGTGAATTGTTTAATTCAAGGAAAAGTACAGAGTGGGATGAAGGACATCTGAGCACATCCACAAAAGAAATAGCAAATCCTTACCTCAACATCCTCTCCTTGTTCCTGACTCTCCTTTCAGTTGTCTAAAGGAATGCATTTAAACTACAGGACTGGTCTCACCACTGGTCATGTCTGCTAAAAGCCTGGACTTGGAACTCATGTTGTACCCCCAGGTACTATGGCCTATCTGAAAAGCTCTGAGCAAGAGTGTCGAATGCTCTTGGAAAGCACATGAGCAACATGTGAAGGAGATGACTGCTTTCTTTTAGAAAAGCTTAATTAAGACTTTATATAGGAAGAGACAAGAAAAAGAATTGAGTTTCTCGGAGATAACATGGGGTGGCCTGGAAAGAAACAGCAGTGGGTGGGAAGAAGAAAGGCAGGGAAGGGAAGAAGAAGGGGCAGGGGGAGGAAAGAAGTGTCAGGAAGAGTGGGGAATGTTTGAAAAGTAGGTTAGAAGTTGGGCATCAGAAGTTGGGGGATGGGGGGGGGGGGAAATACCATACTTCAGATAGAGATTGTTTCAGAGGATGGGGTTGGAAGCAGGCGTGATGGTAAGGACTAGGCAGGCTCGTACCTGCAATTGTTCATCTTTCCACTCCTAAGTGCCATATAAATTTAACGAGCTCCAAAAGGGACGATGGGAGGCCAGAGACTTAACAATCAGAGGTTAAAATTGGACTAGTCAATGAAGGGTAGGGCAAGAAGTTAATGAGGTAGGAAGAAAAACACCGTCCAGCGTTCTAAGACAAACGCACGTTATGATTCAGTCCTCAGGACCCAATTAAGTTCCCATTAGCAGTGGTGTAGGGGCTTGACTTCTCGCCCTACCACAACCATCCTTCCAACGCCTGGGGAGACATCAGAGAAATTCAGCTAGAACGTGGCTCTTCTTTACACCTGCGAGGTAGTGGACAAGCCTTTCATGAGTGGGCTGCCCACTCAGCTTTGTCCAAGCCCCACGATGGGGAAATGAGGAAAACAGAGACACGCAGCAGCACAAAAGCAGCAACCACAACTCCTTTCTTTGTTCCTTCCCCTTCCTATCCTCGAAGTGCCTAGAAGGATGCTCAGCAAACAGGGCTTGCGTCTAGCAGGGAGCTGCTCCGCTCAGAACCACTGCATTCCAGCGGGGTATTGAAGGCTGCCACCAGTGAAGACGCCCAAGGTAGCGCAGATTAGAAGAGGGAAGCAGCCGCTGCTGGAGGTGGCTGTAGGGGCGACCTGCCAGGCCTGGTTGAGCCCCCCCCCCCCCGCCCTCGCCCCTGCCGCCCCCGGAAGCCACCTAGGACGGGCTGAGCCGAGGGCCTCTGCTCCAAGGCCCAGAGCTGCGCGGTCTGGAACTGACCTTCGTGCGGGGGCGCCCGCGCGGGGCGCAGCAGCCGGGCGTGGGCGCGGGGGGCACTCGGCGCCCACTGCGCACGTAGGTCACCTGCCTCCTGCTGGCACCCCGCGGCGGGCCCAGCGGGGGCAGCAGGTGCGGCCCCGGAGGCCGGGGAGCCGGGCCCGGTGGGGCGCTGCGGGCTGGGGGTCCCGACCCCGCGCGGCGCAGCTCCAGGCAGAGCCGCAGGCCCAGCAGCAGCAGCAGCAGCGCGGCGCCGAGCAGCCACCGGCGCAGGATGCCGCGGCCCCGGCCGGGTGGCCTCTCCCTGGCCATGGCGGGGCCCGGGGTCCGAGGGGCGCTCAGGGTCCCGGGCGGGCAGCTCCAGATCGATGCTGACCGATGGGTAGCTAGCGGGGATGGGGACCCGAGCTGCCGATGGCGGGGAACTCCCCAGCGGGCTGGGGGCACAGGCTCCGACCCGCCTCCCTGCCTCCCGACCGGCCCCGGCGTAACCTTATCCCGCCCAGCCAGGCGCGCCCGGCCACCGCCGCGACCCAAGGCTGCGGTGAGCCGCCCCACCGGGCAGGGGACCCTCAAGAGGCGCCCTCGCCCCGCGCCACCGGCCTGCAGACCCTGGGGAAGACCGAGGTCCCAGGCCCGCAAGAGCACGTTGCCAAAGGACCCCGGGCCATCATTGCATGTCATGGTGTTAGTATTACTGGAGCGGCGCCCGAGGAGGGCAGGGGGCCTGCCAGGCTCTCTACACCGAGCAAGTTCGGATCGCCGAGCCGTTTGTGCCATGGAGCACCATATAAAAATAGATCATCCTTGGGCTCCGGTTTACAACTTCTCTCCCTCAAGAAAGAAGCGGGGAGGGAGCGCCGCGCGCGAGAGAGGGGGAGAGAATAGCACTGAAACGCAGAATAATCAAATTAGAGTTCTTCCATTTCTAAATTCTGCCTGAAGCCAAACCCATTGCTTTCCCTCCGTGTTATGAAACGTGTGGGGGTGAAGAAGGAGAGGGGAGAGCCAGCGAAGGCATCTGACAGCAGGGAAAGGGAACAGAAGTTACCATGGCGTGATGTAAATCAAATTAATTTAGCTCCAAACACACACCTCCCTGCTGTCTTGCAGAGATACAGAGGGACAAATTTATCTTTGGGCAAAACGCTCCCCAGCTGGTATTTCCATCATCACCTTCACCTTAATTAATCAGACGGAACAGTCACAGCCTGGTAGTTCAAGGTTGAATGTTCCAATTTCAATTGTTGATATAATTCTTTCCCATCCTTGGTTTGGGGATGGGTTTGCCTTCTAGGTATAGGCTTAGTTCCTTTACAGTTTTGTTATCGTTTGTTTGTTTGGGGGTTGTATGTTTGTTGTTCTGTATTGTATGGTTGTGGGGGGTGGGCTGCTTTTAAAGTTATGGCCGGTTTTCCCCAACTCAGCATGGTTTATGTTTGCATTTTTCCGTGGTTCAGAATAGGACTGCCCCTGTTGACTTTACTCTCCCTTTCCCTCAGTATAGACAACAGAGACTTACTATGGAGCCCCAGTGCTCTCTCGGATTCATTTCCCATAGGAGGCTTTCTTCTCTAAAACCCTCTTCCCTTCCTGTCTTTAGAAAAGCTCAGCTTAGAGGTGACATTGATCAAGATGCATTGTAGCTATGAACTGATACGTTGAATCAAATTCCCTTCATACAACTACCTAAAGATAATAAAGATTTATCACTGAACAAAGCATTTACACTATTTCTCTCCGTGTAACAAACTTCCCAGCCCAGTCCAGTCCATTCCTAGACCACAGCAGGCTTCTGAAGGTTTTGTTTTGATTGACTTTGATTTTTTCTTTTTTAGATGCAGCCTTCCTACCCCCAGGGAAATTGCAGATGGTCTCTGTATTAAAGGATCTCCACAAGTACATTTCTTTTCTTCACACAAACTGGAGGAGACGGTCTCATATCCTGTAACTATACCTGAACTGTGCTCTCATCAGGACCCTGTCATTCAGCCATGGGAGACTTTTAGGCAATGCACTTAACCTCTTGGCTTCAATTTTCCTGTGGGGAAACATATTTGTAAATATGGTAGGAGTATGAATGTTGCATAACTATTGTATGAGTACCTAAGTAATATCTGGCCCACAGAAAATACTCAATTAGATCCGGGCACCGTGGTTCATGCCTGTAATCCTAGCTACTCTGGAGGCTGAGATCTGAGGATCACGGCTCAAAGCCAGCCCAAGAAGGAAAGTCCGTGAGACTCTTATTTCCAATTAAGCACCAGAAAACCAGAAGTGGCGCTGTGGCTCAAATAGTGAGAGTACTTACCTTGAGCTGATGAGCTCAGGGATAGCACCCAGGCCCAGAGTTTAAGCCCCAGGACCTACAAAAATAAAAATAAAAAAGTGAATACTCAATTGACAGTGATTTTTATATTATTGATCATTAAAGAAAATTCCAAATGTGATGAAAACAAAAAATAAGCTTTCCCCCCCCCCCCCAAGATAATCAGGTATAAAAAAACAAGGAGAGAGCCGGGCACCAGTGGCTCATGCCTGTAATCCTAGCTACTCAGGAGACTGAGATCTGAGGATCACTGTTCAAAGCCAGCCAGGGCAGGAAAGTCCGTGAGACCCTTATCTCCAATAAACCACTAGAAGTGGCACTGTGGCTCAAGTGGTAGAGTGCTCGCCTTGAGCTGAAGAGCACAGAGGCAGCACCCAAGCCCAGAGTTCAAGCCCCACGACCAACCAAAAAAAAAAAAAAAAGAAAACATAAGGAGATTAATATTTACCTCACAGTGTTCTCTGCAATTGGGAATACCCAATAATTCCAAGGAAATAATCATTAAAATTCAAAATCCCACAAATACGCCCTTATGAAGTTGTGTAGTTATGTGATACTACTGAAGACATGATTTGTTTATGGAATTGGAGGCATGGTTCAAGTAGTAGAACGCCAGTCATGAATGAGCAAGAGCTCAAGGCTCTTGGTTCAAGCCAAAGCACAGCCACAAAAGAAGAAGAAAAGAAAAGAAAGGTCAGATGCCAGTGACCCACACCTATAATCCTACCTACTCAGGAGGCTGAGATATGAGGATCATGGTTCATAGCCAGCCTGGACAGGAAAGTCTGAGAGATTCTTATCTCCAATAAACTATTCAAAAAAGCTGGTAGTGGTGCTGTGGCTCAAGTGGTAGAGTGCTTGCCTTGAACAAAAGAAGCTCAGGGATAGCGTGCAGGCCCAAAGCCCTAACTAAGACCAGTAAAAAAAGAAAAAATTAAAATTAAAAACATAATTTGTACAGTGCTTGATAAATCTGGATCAGCAGTGTCTGACTTTGCCCCAAGTTTTATTTTCTATGCAATCTGTACAGTGTCACTAATCTTTTGAATGTATGGTACAACTGATGAATTCCTTCTGCTCATCTATTAAGTTCTTTTGATAGATAGATTATTAAAATAAAGACATTTAATAAGACTCAACAGGGGGTGGAGCAGAGGGTGGGTGGGTGCATACAGAACAGTGTAGCCCTTGAAGAAAATGGACGAGATGACCTCATATTTTCCATTATCTCATTTCTATGGTTGGTTAATAAAATGTTTCCATTATGAAAAATAACTAAATTAAATGCAATATTTAAATGCCCTTTTGATTCTTTTGTGCAGCTATATCTATGAGTTTATTATTAACCCAAGAGACCTGTTTATATGTATGTAGAATAATTAATTTTCAAGGAAGAAATCTCTCATTTTTAACTCCACACAACATGTCCCTGTGTCCTGGATGATCATGAATAGTGAAATGGGCTGTTAGTATGCCAGAGAGGCAAATCTGACTGATCACTGTGCTAGCTGACACTCCGTCTTTCATTCACGACCTTTGCTTTTCTCGTAGAGTTGAACTCATCTTGGTCCTTTCTGGATGTGTTTCAGAAATGCAGATCACCATTAGCCACTGTGTCACAGGTTAGCTAATTAAACGTGCAGTTCAGCAAACCACAATAGCAGCTTTTATCCGATCACAAATTATATCCCTTATGAGGGGTATAATTTAGCCAGCAAAATGAGTGAAACAAAACATCACTACTGCAAATCTAGACTTTGTTCATTTCAACTCGCACACCTGCTGGAATTCAGTGGTTCTTAACCGTAGCTAACTTTGCCTCCCCAGGGAACATTTGGCACGGTCTGAAAACATTTTTGGTTGTTGTAGCTGATAGGAGTAAGGGAGAAGATGCTATCAAACATCCTCCAATGGCAAAGATAGAGTTCCACAATCAAGCTTGATCCAGCCCAACATGTCAGTGGAGCCAAAGCTGAGAGACCATGCTGTAACAAAAGATGCAGGGTTTACTTTCCAGATTGTCCAAGGAGAACAGCAGAGGCTGATTCTACACCTCTGTGGAATGATATTTCTGTTTCACCCATTGAAGTACCCAGCCTGAATTAAAGAAACCAGATGTACAAGAGGAATAAAACTTGAGTGTCCACATCAACACTTCCTGGACCCACCCTCACTGTCCTTCCTGTCTGCAATGCATGGTCAAGTTCATGCAGACAAAAGAAAATATCCACAATGATTTTTAAACTCATGACTCAGAGATAACTAGACTGTCAGACGTTTTCCTATATGCATGTAGTTCACCAAATTGAAATCATGGTGTGATCTTTTAAATCTGCTTTTATAATAGTTTTCATATGAACTAATACAATATCTTGAGATATACTTAAAGATAATACTGCAGGGAGACAAGAGGTAAGCAGGGTTATAAATAAACAAAAATGCCTTGGAGTTGATGGCTATTATAGCCAGCTCTCTATCATTAAGCAGATTTGAAATTATCATAATAAAAATGTCCTTAAACTGTTCCCTATCAGCCACAACATCATTTAATAAAAAACAAATTTTACTATGTACATGGGCAGTTTACAACATGACATTATGAGACAGAGCAGGTGAAATGTAGATTCTGTAGTGAAGTGCATTAACATCTCTACAATCTCATATATGTCCTAGAGTAGGAGAGAAGTGTCTAAAATTTATGCAGTCCCTTCCCTCAATAGGGATACAAGACCCCATGGATATTTGGAGCTATGAAGAGCATTGAACTCAATTTACAAACACCACAATAGCACAACAATCAATATGATCACTGAGACATCCACTAAGTGACTGTTGGTCAAGAAGAATACACACACTGGTCAGAAGGGATGGTTCATTCCATCATGCCACCAATACAGTACTATTTCTGGAATAATAACTGGAAGTTTCATTTTAATACTTTTGTACCATAATTGAACTGACATAACTGCAACCTCAGAAAAGT